TATGTTATATGTTATTACTCTCGTGTTGGTGTGGTGTATGGGGGGGGGGGGTTGGTATTAAGTTTAGACAATGGTTTCAAAGGACGGTAAAACAAAATTTAAGTATAAACATGTGTATATTGTTTCGAGTTTAAAACTATCTATGGTAAATATATATAGTTTCATGTTACAATTTGAAGTCACTCTAGAAAGAAAAAAGGGTAATTTAGATTTATTTTGATTTTTTTCTTTTTTGTGTGTTACAAGGTTATATAGGGTTAGAGTAGAGAAAATAATAGATAAAATATAAAGTTTACTGTAAAAAGCATTTCAAGTTTATTTAGGAGGCTTTAGAGAATATGCAAATGAAATTTGAGACTTTTCACATGAAGCAAAGTATTTTAATCTTAATGTGAAAATCGTTTTGTTCTTGGGGCAGTTAACACTTTGAATCCTTATGTTCGTGGAGAAATTTTTAGTGAAAATGCTTCATTAAGAATTCTGATTTTCTTTGTTTATATGTCACTCTTAGTGATTACTGAAAGCTTGCAAAATTTTGTGAAGGTACACAGAACATATTAGAAGTTATAGTATGGAAACTATAAATGTCAACTTTGGGTCATGAACTCGACCAATTTGGCTGAGCTTATAGTGAGAGAGTTGAAGGTGAAAGTTATCATTGTAGGTTTGGATAGGGTTGAAGTAGTCTTGAAGCACATGCAGTTTCTGTGTTTCATGCTCATTAGTTTTTTTAATATAACTGAACCTTGGTAAAGATTTGTTTTTATTTAATACCAGAAGCAAGGCCACTGAATGCCATGTTGCTGAAGTGAAAACAGTATTTTGTGTTTCTGAAATTATTTTGTAGAGATTACTGCTTATATATATGAATTTATAAGTGTGAATGTGGTGTATCTGGATTTTCAGAAAGCATTTGACAAAGTACCACATAAAAGGCTTCTTAAAATGTTTGGAGATAAGTTTGCACATTGCATAGAAAACTGGCTAGATGGAAGATAGCAGAAGGTTGTTATACATGGAACTTGGGTTGTTATACGGGTCATGGGTGAAAGGCCATGTCATTTCCTTTGTTGACTCACATTCAAAATTTGATTTAACTGCTATTTCATGAATTTATATCAATAAGTTTGGTATCAAACTGTAGATTATAATTCAAATATTAGCACTATACATTACTCAATTTTTTAATTTAAAATATTAAAAAATCACAGTTAAACATCGATTTTTTGTGTGTCACGGGAAATGCAGCACTGGTTCAAATTTGATGTTTGTGAAGTCAAAATACTAAGCCTGTACTTTCATATAAATTAAAAATAAACTAGAATATAAAATAAGAAGTTCTTATCTTTTCTATTTGCTAACATATAGCTCATGTAATAAATCAAACAAGTGGCCCCCCTGCCCACCTCTTTCCATTTTTGGAAATGCTCCCATATGTACACTTACTCCTATATATGACATAAATCACCAATCAAAAGCTCAGAATGTCTCCCTAGTGGCCTTATCAGCCATATTAAATTTATAGGATGCCTTATCGTTCTTTTGAACCAAGGTTTCAAGGAGATAGGTTGTGTCTTTTGTCTGCTTGAAATTTCATATTTTTTTAGACAGAAATACAGCGTAGTTGCTAAGATT